ACACGAAAAAAGACAAAAAGGAAAAAAAAAAAAAAAAAACTTCACTCACTCACTCAGTCGCTGCCTTCCTCTAAAGCATCTGTCAAGCATTTATTGAGCATCTACTAAGTGCCAGGCATTCAGATATGAAGATGACTCAGGGCCTGTTCCCTCTGAGACTTTATAGCAGGTCAGTTCAAGAAATGTTGTCGAGCCACTATTGTGCACCTGAATAGAGCTCAGACACCAGGAGAAACACCCAGGCAATTAGGCATTGTTTCCTCACCCATAAGGTCACTGAACCACAGTGCTGGCAGCAAGCTGTCATAGTACCATATGACACACACACTCTGTCATACTCTGTCCTCTGGATTCTCCCATCCCTAGCCAATCCACCCAGTAACACATAGGGGCAAAATGGCCTATAACATCTGACAGCAATAGAGGTATCCCAGTCTTATGGTCGTCGGATGACCAGCCATTGTACTCTCCATGCCTAACTCTTCTATATAAAACGGGCATCTACGTGAATTCACATGGTAGTGACAAATATCACTCAGGTAACAGCAGTCCCCAAAGTTATCAAAAGGTCCGGGGGGACTCATCTACTTACATATGCTTAAGGCCAGTCTGAAAATATTTAAATTTAATCTGTACAGCACGTACAGTCTCATTTTGGTCTAACTTATACCATGGTCTTGCACTTGCTGAAGGACTAACTTCCATCACACCCCTGCCAATATTGATTGATTGGGCTCAAAGGTATGCAAGTAAATTGATTTTTTCCCCCCTCAAACTAAAAAGGACCACAGTGGTGTTAATATATTCCTGTTTCCACTGTTTGGTATACGCACTGAATAAATAATAGCGTTACCTGGAAAAATTTACTCAAAAGAAACAGTGATAGAAAACAGGCTATAGGTCTTGAGTTGCATTCTTAAATCCCTCACGAGTTCATCTGGGGTGTTTCCAGAGATTGCCTAAGCTTGTCTATTGTAAACGGAGTTGTCAAGCCTCTGCCACGACTCCGATCCATTATTTTTTAAAAATAAAAACATTTTAGTCGCCTACGCCTTAGGTACAAGAAACTAAACCAAGGAGAGGAGGGAGTGGGTGTCCCCTTGTGGTGAGGTTAATAGGCAATACCCGTCTCCTGTCATTTCCCTCTCTAAGTCAGCAGGAAGGAAATACATCCACCAGGGGCCTCTGTTAATTTGTTTCTAATTTAAGGGCAATTAGGCAATTCCTACATCCCCACCCCACAGAAGCAGCCAGAGCCGCATGCTTTCTTTCGATATCCGACAAACTGGTAACTCTGGAAACAACGGCGGTTATGATATTAATTTTGTACTAACTTCTAGGGACATCTAATAAACAGATCTGCGGTCTTGGGAACCAGCCAGAAACTAATTCTTCATTCTGTTTTACAGTTTCCTTTCTGTGATTTTTTTTTTCCCTACCCCAAAGTTTCACACTACTCATTCGGGAAACACCTCTAAGCTGAAGCAGTTCTGGAGCTGTCCCGGTAAAGAATCCTTTCAGGCAAGAAACAGGTTGTAGGACAGGAAAGCAGCCAATGTACCTAATGACTGTTCCTCCCTGTCCAGGTAGCCTGGGAAAGAAGAGGCCAAAGAGAAAAGGGACCAACACCAAACTCTTCCTCTCTCTCTCTCATCTCTACACTGGCAGGTGGAGTCTGCCTTCCGACTTCCCGGAGCCGCAGCTGGGAAAAACACCAAGAAAAGCGAAACCGTGACCGGCCCCCCACACAGCGCCAGCACCATCGCGCCGCTTGAGCCTTTACCAGCGGGCTTTAAAACGCTCGGGCGAGGGGGCGTGGCCGGGGCAGAGCTCCACGGCCCGGGTGGGCGGGGCAGGGGCGGGGATCCCTGAGGCTCAGCGGCGTGTGGGAAAAGACCTGAGCTGGGGGAGAGAGCGCCTGTCTCTTTAAATGCCACGGGCTGCGCTCCCGCCTGGGAGCCCGGAGCCGGATCTACAATCCTGTCCCTCCCTCTCCCGCGCTTGTTGCTCTCCCGGCCCGAGCGGGAGCTGCCGCCGCTGGGTCGCTGGGATCCCTTGTCCTCCTCCTCCTCCTCTTGCTCCACCTTTCCCGAGAGCTCGTTGAGACGCGTAACAGCCCCAGCAGGACGGAGGGGGCGCGGTGAAAGCAGGGATTGCCCCCCGCCTTCAAGTCTTGGGGCGCTACGCAGCCTCGGGGAGAGATATGCGTCGCTGTCCCCTGCCCAACCTCGCTGTCGCCCGCGCCGGGAGAGAAAGGACTGCGGATCCCACACCTGTAAACTCGCCCTAGAAGTCTCCGGGTGCGGCGGGGGGCCCCTCCCCACTGCCTCCACCTCTCTGCGGGTGAGTTTGCGCAGGTAACCCGAGCCAGAGGGCGGGCGCGCGGGGGAGGGGCGGGCGCGCGGGCAAGAGGAAGCGCCGCAGGTGAGCCAGGTAGGGAGGGTCACCTGCCCGGGCCGCGCTCCAGGATCCTCGCTCGTTCCCCTGGGGATGGAGGCCTTGGGGGAAGACGGTTGTCTCAGGGGCTAGTTAGAGCTCAGGGGTGGGGGTGGGGAGTTAGGAAAGGGGGGGATTAGAATAAAGTTTTTCTTTACCCTCTTCTGCCCGGGCTTGGTAGGTAGGGCACGGGCGGAAGTGGTAGGAGGTGCTGATGCAATGGGCTTCTGCCCGGCCAGGCGAAGGGCTGGGGGCGGGGGAGAGCTGGAGTCGCCCGGTCTTCTGTGATCCTAGAAGGCTCGCTACACCCGAGGCTCCCCCTAAAATGGTTCCAGGGGATCGGGCCCCACCCGTTCTTTCTCCTGCTAAGAACAAAACGGAGGGGCTCCTACATGGCTTCCTTGCCTTCCTCTCCCAACAGGTGGCCTCAACCCTTGTCCGGGACTCTGTGCCAATGACCCTAGTGGTGGTTTCGCTTTCTCCCCTCGCGGCGGTGTGAACGTGTGTCCGCAGCGTGATGGGCAACCAGGTGGAGAAACTGACCCACCTAAGTTACAAGGAAGTTCCCACGGCCGACCCGACTGGCGTGGACCGGGACGACGGGCCCCGCATCGGTGTCTCCTACATCTTCTCCAATGACGACGAGGACGTGGAGCCGCAGCCGCCGCCCCAGGGGCCGGATGGCGGCTGCGTGCCCGACGGCGGGGAGGGCCAGCCGCTGCCCCAGCCGCAGCCCTACGACCCGCGGCTACACGAGGTGGAGTGCTCCGTGTTCTACCGCGACGAGTGCATCTACCAGAAGAGCTTCGCACCGGGCTCGTCGGCGCTGAGCACCTACACGCCGGAGAACCTGCTCAACAAGTGCAAGCCTGGCGACCTGGTAGAGTTCGTGTCGCAGGCGCAGTACCCGCACTGGGCTGTGTACGTGGGCAACTTTCAGGTGGTGCATCTGCACCGGCTGGAGGTGAGCAACAGCTTCCTGACCGACGCGAGCCAGGGCCGTCGCGGCCGCGTGGTCAACGATCTGTACCGTTACAAGCCGCTGAGCCCCAGCGCCGTGGTGCGCAACGCGCTGGCGCACGTGGGCGCCAAGGAGCGCGAGCTGAGCTGGCGCAACTCCGAGAGCTTCGCCGCCTGGTGCCGCTACGGCAAACGTGAGTTCAAGATCGGCGGCGAGCTGCGCATCGGCAAGCAGCCCTACCGGCTACAGATTCAGCTCTCGGCGCAGCGCAGCCACACGCTTGAGTTCCAAAGCCTGGAGGACCTGATCATGGAGAAGCGGCGCAACGACCAGATCGGGCGCGCGGCTGTGCTGCAGGAGCTGGCCATGCACCTGCACCCGGCTGAGCCGGACGAGGGCGACAGCAACGTGGCGCGGACTACGCCGCCTCCCGGGCGCCCCCCTGTGCCCGGCACGGAGGAGGAGGACGGAGAGACGGTGGCGCACTAACAGGCGAGCTGAGCGCAGAGCTGCGAAAGGGAGCTGTTTGCAGCAGCCTGTGTCCGCTTCCTCCCTCCGCCTCCACCTTCTGGGTCCCATCTGGAATTCCTGGCCCGTTTGGAAAATGGAGAGGTGTTCAAATGCACAGCCGGCTGTGGACTGGGGAGGGGGACAGAGGGAGCAGGTAGGAGCACTTTGGCTGGGAGCGTTTCTTTGTGGCCCCCTCAATTTATCTTCCTTTGCGCGGCAGGGCAAACTGTGGACTTGCCTGGCCCTTAATCTCTCCTAGATCTGGGTCCAAAATTAACCTTTCTTATGCAAGCTTGGCGAAAAGTTCAGAGTACCGGTATCTGCCATTGTCTCCTCTCTGCTTTCTTTCCTACTCTGGGTTTGGAGGGTGCCCGGTTCAAAAGACAGAGCGGGTTTGTGGAGACGTCCACCGCGGGCAAGCACGGAGAGCTGAGCCGTGTACAGGATCCGGCAGGCTGGGGAGATTTATTTTATGGGATGCCTGGGGCGCAGAGCTGGCGAAACCAGGAGAGGTCTGGGAGCAGCAGACCAAAACCAAGCAGCCCCCTATTAAGTGTAACAGTTAAGCAAACTCGGGCTACAAACAAAGACTTTCCAACCTCCCTCCTCTCCAGCCCCAAGTAATTCGTCTTCAAGAGCTGGCTCTTAGCTGAGTCTCCTGTTCCACCCGCCCCTTCCCAGGTTACAAGTAAATCATTGTCAAGGGCCAGCCAGGGGAAGGATTCAATTAAGGTTCTGTTCTGCTGCCTTTGTTTCTGGCCTGTTGTTGTAGGCACTTATAGCCGTGTTATTTGTTATCAAAGGAGGGAATAGCCCTTTGTGTCTCTGATCTAATTAAACCTGCTTGGCTGTGTTCATCCACGGGTCACAGATGGGGTTTGCTTGTGCCACCCTGTAAAGTACCCAGTACAGAAGCAGCCAAACAGGGCTGCCCTGGAAGGAATTAGTTAATCTCTCCTTCCATTCCCTGCCCTGCATAGTGAAGGTAACACTTTTAAAAACGAGGTTTGGGTGGTAATCCTGTGAATTCCCCACCCCCTCCACCCCCACTGGCCCATACCCCTCACCTTCATTTTTGTTCTGTTGGTAGTAAAAATCTTAGGCTTGAGACATAGTTTAATGGTAAGATATTTATTTTGCTAGCCATACTTGATGCAATTTCATTCAAGGTGCAGTCGTGTTATACTGCACCAGGCGCCTTGTTGCTTGGTGAACACCCCTTCAGAGCCCTTTCATAATTAAGAGGGTGGCATAAATCACAGATCAGTCACAGATGCCACCTGGTGTAGTCAGCACAAAATCTGGTGACAGTCCTAAAGCGCAGGTTGGTAATTGTTAATCTGTTAGTGGCAGGATACTACTTGGGCCTGCTGCTGAGCTACTGTTTGCTTTACTATGAGGCTTTAAAATTTTTTTATAACCTGTCTCCTACTCCTCTAAGCTCCTTAATGATGTGTGCCCTCAGTTGCAGAATGCTTCTCGGCTGAACGTTGCCAATGCTGTCTCAAAAGTTTGCTAAAGTTTGAGGTTTTCTTTTTTTTCCTTCTTGGGAGTTATTATAAACTACACTGTATAAGTCATTGTGTGACCTAATTATTAGGAATTAGGAATAGAATCATATTGAGTGGTCTACAGCCATGGCCATTCTTGGGCCTCTTGCCTGGAGACCCTCTAAATCAAGGCAAAAAAGACTTGAAAGATTTTTTTGTACACTTTTTTTTTCAGGTGTGGAAGTTGAGGCCATAATTTTTAAAAGCCTAGACCTTTGTAGCACCTCCACCTGAAATCATAATTACAAGGGCATTAGCTATGTTCTGTTTTCACAGTGATCACCAAACAGGTCCTGTTATTTTGACTATTAATGATGAGCCACACTTTAGCCCTGATCTGGGACCTTGGAGGAAAATTAGTCCCTTGCTGGGCACATAGATCTAGTTGCCATGTTTAATACTCGCACAGCTTTGTGTTTACGTTCCATTGTTCATGGAAAAGTGAAGCGAGACATGCGTAAAGACATTTAGGGGAGCCTACTATATCTAACGGATTTGGGTATCTTTTCATGCTTTGCTTAACACAGTGGTGAAAGTTGAACGTAATGATCACTGTGTGGACACAGGAGGGAAGAAGAAGAGGATGGCACTGCCCAGCCTCTCTGGGCTGGCCGCTCTTTTTCCCTTTCTCTGCCCCCAAATGGAAAGTGAATGTCTAGTCACACTGAGGTCCAGCAGTGACTATGTTACAAATGAACTGCTCTTTCCGAGAGGTCTCAACTTGAAGGAACGGTTCTTATAAAATCCACACCAATACAGGTCAAATATCCCTAATCTGAGAACCTGAAATATGAATATTTGGGATTTTCAGATTAGGGATGCTCAGCTAGTATGTACTCTGCAAATATTTTAAAAGCTGAAAAAAATCCAAAATTTGAAACACTTCTGGTCCCAAGCATTTTGGATAAGAGAACCTCAACTTGTACTAGCATTTTATCTCTAGAGAAGAGATTTTGATAACAGGGCTTGTATATGAACTAGAATGGGAAGTACGTATATCCCAGATGCTGCTTTCCCATGTAATGCAAGAGTTTCCGCAGGGTACCAGAGCTGTGAAATATGATACTTAGGAACAGTGTTTTTATTGGAAATTTTCTTAGGGTCGTTAATGCTTAACATAAAGCAACAACCGCTCAGTAAAGTCTCTAAGGAAATCAAATCAATTCTTGGTTCCTTCCTCAAGATGGCAGTGTTGTGGATTAGTAAGTTTTTAATGCCCTGGCAATGGCTACATCTGGCACTTTAGACAAAATAAATATATTTAATAATTTTTGTTTCTCCTTAGGAATAAGACTTTAGAACTATTTTGTACTGTGAATTACAGATGCTCTTTGAAGGAAAGAAATATCGATTCTCATGTTCTTCAGAAGCTCTGGCAGGGATAAGCAGCACATCGCCTGGAACGTACGCTAAATGAAACCAGACAAATTCTATTTTCTTACCTGAGCAAATATTTTATTGAGACTGCTTGTGTATGTTAAAGGAGCCCACAACTTCAGCTACACAACTTTTTGTATTGAAAGAACTCATACTTTTTGTAGATTTTATTCCACATTTAATTTAAAATGACTTTGTAGCACTAAAATGCCTAGCAGAAGACCTTACTCCAGACCTTTAAGGAAATTTTTAGTTTTTATGAAAAATGACACTTCAGTGGTTAAACTTCTCATGTCTTTGGTGCTTCTGGCGCTAATAGCACCACTGGACAACACCACAACCACGTGGAAACATATTTTTGGAAGCAAAATTTTAATTTTATATGACATATGCTATGGAGAGCTAAGAAAATTTAAGGACTGCTTGTTTTCTATTTTTTTTTTCTTAAAATGGAATCCACTGTGTTGAAGACTCTTGATATTATGTGCTTGTCTAACCATTTTTTATAAATTAGAATAAAATCTAGTGTGATCATGTTCATCAAATAGATTTGTTTGAAAGGTTACATTTTATTTGTGATTTTTTCTTTTTAAATTAGGGTAACTGTAAACTTGACTGCTTTATTCAACTTTTTATTTTGTTGTTTTGTTCTTGGCTCTAATACTTGTGACCCATGGAGAATTACATTGACTAACCAGATAAATGCCACACGTTTTATTTCTCAATGAGTTGTGTTAACTTTATTTTTGTTGGAAGTTGTATGTTAAATCAATGTTATGTTCTTATACCACTTCTTGAGAAGGAAGTTCTGATTTGAAATAGTATCATTTCCTTCAAAATGAAGGGCAGTGCTTAGTTAAATAAAATATTGATGATATCTTTTAAGCCATCTTCTCATTACTGTGTCTTATTAATTAAAATAAAACCTATCAGGTCCTTTGGACAAATGCTGTGAGGGTTTCCAATAAACTATTTATTACAGTTGACAATTTATATATTTTTTACACTTAGACCTTTTTTTTGTCCAAATTCAAGCTGCTCAACATACTACAGTTTCTGACAATATGTACCATCTTTGCATTGCTCAGTACACATTTTAATGAACTCATTTAATGACTGAAAACCCTGCATTTACTGTGTGAGAATCAATCACCCATTGCTTCTAAGTGATTAGTGTTTGTGAAAAATGTCTTATGAATTTTCAATACACATTGATTTTTCAGAATCGATCCAAAAATTGCTGGAAACCACACTCACATGGAATCTACATTGGGGAGTTTCGGTGTTCAGTAACCTCATCTGATGGGGACAGGAAGAAACACTCCAAGGGTAGAACTGTTGACTTACAGAGTAACAGCCTAATCTCCTTGAGGGCACGGACTTCGCCATTTTATACATTCCTGGTGCCTATCTCGGTTCCTAACACGTGTTACAACTTAGGTGATTTCATAGTCCCAAACAAAAAGAACATGCTTGCCACATAATTACATAAAGTGGTTGAACATGATCACATGACACTTTTGGCATGATAAGAGATGCAGGTGCCAGGAGTTGGTAAAGAGACAGATGTAGCAACTGACCCTGGTATGGGAGAGGCCAGGAGTACTCCCTAGGCCAGCGTCTGAAGCTGCTACCACAATCCTGTGAGGTTCAAATGCCTGAGCTTTGTCAACAGGCTCTTGTGGGAATTTTAAATAGGAAGAAAGTTGAGTGCTGAAGGTTACAGGGAGCCCAAGCAGCAGTGAGACCATTTAACCCTAGAGTGGGAGGGAGTCTTTAATTTGTTGTGGTTCTCATTGCACAAGAAGGTAGGGATAGGGGAGTCTAATACAGAATGTGCATTTATTCTTGGGCGATTTTGGTGGAGGCTGCTGTTAACTATTTCTCCTAAGTGGACTGAGCTTTCTTAATGTAGGAAAATGACATGTCTGGAAGTGTTTAAAAGACCTCCAAAATGAACAGGCCCAGGGTATGTGCAGAAGGGCTTTTATTTCCCTTTACTGAATTTACTGGGGAAAACTGCTTATCAAATAGAGCAATTTTATCTGCAGAGTACATGCAAGAATGGCGAGTGTTTGCATTTGCAGTAAGGTACTGAGTATTTATGAAGGGCTAAAGGGTGCTGAGCCCTAGCCTAGGAACAGAACATAGAGTTGTTTTTTTTTTTTTTTTTTTTTTTTTAGAAAGAAAACTTTAGAAATAGTCCTGCCCCTGAGCTTGTTTGAAAGGGAAAATTAATTTCACTCACAGAGGACATATAATAAAAGGTGGCCCTGTCGAGTGCTGATGGTTGGTAGGTATTCAGATAAAGCAGATGATTTAAAGTCTAATTGGAGTTAGAAACCTGGTATTGGATGAGCATGTGGAGTATGTACTCCCACTGAAGAAATCAGGCCAAAAATATGAAGGTACAAATGATGGAGAAAAGAATGTAACCGATGTAACATATTCGCTGAGCACTTAACATGAGGCTCCTCCATTTCCAGTGCCTAATGTACAAAGATAAACCAGGTCCATAGATACTGTCTTCATGTAACTTCCATTCTAATAGCCAAGACAGGTAACTAATTACCAAAAGGAAATTGACAGGAAGGTATTTACAGTTGTGATAGGTGCAATGAAAAAAATGCCCAAGGGGTGTGGGAGGGAATCTCCATCAATGAGTCAGACAAGTCTTCCCTGAAGAGGCATTTATGCTGAGCCTCAGAGGAAGAGACAGCCGGGTGCTTGAGAGTGGGCACTGATGACATTAAGGGCGGAAGGCTGGGGAGTGAACCAATGAAACTTGAGCACTGCCAAAATGCCTTTGCTTCAGGTTCCTGTTGTTTACCCTTTTCTCCTTGGAGCTCCCTTCCACAACAAGTTGTCCAACTTGTTCATGTTTCTCCAACGCTTAATACAAGATCAGGCAAAGAGACCCTCACTAAAAGTCTGAGTGTATAAATTTGGGGGTCTGGCTTTGCTACTAGAAAGTCCCTGATTATCTCAAGGTGATGCTGTGACTCTGGTTGGAAGAGGATGAGCAGTGGTGTGAGCAGGGAGAGCAAGTGAGTGACTGTCCTCCCCCAGAACTAGAGGTTGTCCTGCTCATGCTATTGATTTAAATTTCCAGCCGAGTTAAGAAGTGGAGTGTGAATTGAGGCCTTTGCCTGAGGCAAGTGAGTGGACAACTGGTATTGGCCAGGCTGGATAGGAACAGTAGTAACACAGATGGGGAGGTTTTACAGCCTGTCTGCCACAGCCTGGGATCATGATGGGGGAAGTGACTCTTTCATTCGGTTGGAAGGTCACTGCTATAATATGATCACATGTGCCTTGTCGAGTGTGGCCATAATGTCTCAAAGGATGAGCTCTCTGCTACTTTCTCTAGGAAACTTGTACAATGTAGTTAACTCTCAGAGTCTGGTTATCTTGATATGAATATCTTTGACATGAATATGTATTATTTTTAATCTCAAAACTTTGAGGATTCTCATTTATAATGCTTAATTGCAGGTAGGGGTCTGACCTAGGCACACAGTTATCAAGTGGTGGTCAAGTCTTTACAGTCAAGTACCTGGGCTTCTCTGTTCCAGCCTCTGCTTATTATTAGGCTGATAACCTTAGAAGTTATGTATTTTCTTAGAAATTTGATTTCCTCCTCTGTACAATGTGCTGTGGCATTGGTCAATTCACTTAACTCTCTGACTTCAGTTGTATTTGTAAAATAATACTATGAATATACAATATGTAATATAATTGGACTAGATTTACCTTAAATTGTGATTGTGAGAACAAAATGAAACAAGGCATGTAAAGCCTGGATCAGTAACATTATGATTAGCTAGGAAAATCCAGGTACTGGACGTGTTCAAAATCTTACTCAAAATAAAGTTACCGTAGGAAAGAAATGCTCCTTTTAGTTCTGGAGAATTTCTTAGCTATCTAGAAATTGGTAAGATAAGAAAGGGACAGCTCCAGTTAAAGACTTGTTTAGCAGGTGCTGTAGTGTTTGAAATGTTTCTTGAGCTCTGATCTTTAGTAGTTCAAAATGAGTAGACTTTGATTACACATTTTATTATGTTTACTCATTAATTCAAGAAATGTTTACTGAGAACTTTTAAGGCACTAGGTGCTGGTTAGCCAAGGAGGCATAAGGGATTTTGACATTAACTGTGATGACGTCGTCCCGCTCACACTGTCTTATGTTAATCATCACTAAAGACTTTATGGATAAATTCTAATATAATATAGCTTCATTTTATAATAGAGGAAACAGGTTTAGAGAAATTAAGTGATTTGTCCAAGGTCACATGCCTAATAAATGACAGCTTCTGGCCTGGAACAGGAATGCTGGTTTCCAAAGCCCCAGGCTACTGTTCCTCTACTGAAGGATCATTAGACCATTCCCACCCCTCCCTTCTCCTTAACCCATGAAGAATACATAGAACCCTCTTCTGCTCCAACATGTAACATGGAGCATTATCTGAACAGCACTTGTATTTTCATTGTTATTGCAGCAATCCTGCAGGCATGACTCTGGGAGGCAAGAAGAGGAAGGAAAGAAAGGAGAGGCAATTTGGCCAAGAGACATTTTTGATAGAGGTCAGGTCACACAGGCCTGCTTCATATCCTGGCTCCAGCCCTTGACCTGCAGTATGACCTTGGGCACCTTGACTTGTCCAAAAATTGGGACTATTAGGAAATGCCTAGCCCATAGAGCTGTTCAATGGCTTACATGAGATGATATAAGTCAAGTACATCACAGGGCACTTGGCTGTGGCATGGTGGCCACATTAGTTGGCTCTGCCACAGATGGCTCTGCTCTTTATATGATCTGTCACTTTGAGCAAGTCCCTTTACCATGCTAGGATCTTGGTTCTGGGTTTCTATGTTTGAGCACCCAACTCCAGTAGCAGTCTGTGACAAGATTTCAGGTCTAACTTTATCCTTTGAGATGGTTATAGATATTGGTACTTGCTGTACCATTACTGAATACTGCTTCCTTGATTCCCCAAACCTCATTTATGTAAAAAACTTATAATGATAATTATAAAAGTATATGTAAGTTAATTATAAAATTAATAGTGATAATAATAATTGACTGAATTTCAGGAAGTGCTTTTGTTGTGAAAAGCAGGCACTATACACGAAACTTTTTTGTTGTTTTTTTTTTTGTTGTTGTTGTTGTTTTTAAAAGATGACTGGTAAGGGGATCTTAACCCTTGACTTGGTGTTGTCAGTACCA